CCGTATGTCATGACTGGTAGTATACATTGATCGAATGCTTTTTTCTTCAGGTGGAGTGGCATCCTAGATTTGAATATAACAGAATTTTTACCAAAAGCTGCCCAAGCCAGTTTCATTCTTCTGTTGATTTCTGGGAGTAATGAGCCAGATTTATGTATTAATTGTCCCAGGTATATATACTCGTCTACTGTCTCCAGTGCAGTATTATTTATTATTACATCTTGGACATCCACTAGCTCGTTGTACATGGTTTTTGTTTTTGTCAAGTTCATTTTTAGGCCAACTTCATTGCTAGCTGCATTTAGGTCGCTTATAAGTTCTTGTAGTTCTGCAGGATTTTTAGCAATTAGAACGATGTCGTCTGCAAATCTTAGATGGTTGAGGTATTCTCCATCAATGCATAGGCCTTTGTTTTGCCAGTTCATTTTGCTGAATATATTTTCTAGAGTTGCAGTGAAGAGCTTTGGTGATATAGAGTCTCCTTGTCGGACGCCTCTAGTAGTGGGAAATTCTGGAGTGTTTTCATAAATTTTTACCTTAGCTTTTGCTTGTCTGTGTATATTTGCTAAAGTTTCTATGTAAGGTTTGTCAATGCCTTGGTTGGTCAAAGCTTCTATTACTGCCTTGGGATATATAGAATCGAAAGCCTTCTCGAAATCTATGAAGGTTAATGCTAGCGGTATTTCATATTCTTTAGCTCTACTCATTAGTTCTCGAAGCGTATGGATATGATCCATGGTACTGAATCCACTTCTGAAGCCAGCTTGCTCTCTTGGCTGTGCAGCATCTAATGCATTTGTTAATCTGTTGTTGATGATTTTTGTGAATATCTTGTATATGATTGGTAGTAGACTTATAGGTCTGTAGTTTTTAATCTCCTCTTTATTACCCTTCTTATGGATCAAAATTATGTTTGCTGTATTCCAGTGGTCTGGTATGCATCTTGATCTTAGACAGTTCGTAAATACACCTGCTAAGATGTTCCACGTCTTTTTGCCAGCGTATTTAAGCAGTTCCACTGTTATGCCATCAATTCCAGCTGCTTTACCGCTTTTCATTTTTGAAATTGTCGATTCTACCTCTTCCGGAAGGACTTCTGGTACATCTTCGTGGTTACTGATTGCTTCTTCAAGCGTTTCAGGAGCTTTGTATAGTTCGCTATAGAATTTAGTCACGAGTTGTATTATTTCATTTCTGTCTGTAATTCTGGTGTTTTCGTTTGTTAGAGCCACGATTTGCTTCTTCCCAATAATTAATGCTTTTCTTGTTTTCTTATAGTTCTTTTTGTTTTCGATTGCATTTTCTACCAGCCTTTCATTGTATTTTCTTATGTCTTCCTTAATACCTTTTCTTATTGTCTTACAAAGTTCTGTGTATTGTATTCTCTGTACGTTGCTAGTTACTTTCATTTCCCTTCTTTGTTTTAGCATTGTTTTTCTTTTATCAGATAGTTTCCTATGTTTGTTTTGTTCTTGCGGGCCTCCGATTTCTTTGGCACTATCAAGGATGATTTGCATTAATTGAGAGCTGTCGATTTGATCATGTAATCTTTCATCAATTGTCCTTTGATACTGACCTAAGTTTTCTTTTAGATTACTAATATTTATACCGGTTATTGTTGGTTTTGCGATTAATTTTATTCTTTCTAGTTTTAGGTCTAGAACAATTTTTGCTCTGAGTAGTCTATGGTCGCTGCCTGTTTGAAATTTATTTATTACACTGACGTCTTTTATTGTAGCAATATTGTTGGTTAGAATGAAGTCAATTTCGTTCTTAGTGATTCCATTTGGTGCTACCCAAGTCCATTTTCTGTTCGACTTTTTCTTAAAGAATGTATTTGCAATAGGCATATTTTGGTAGTGAGCAAACTGAACCAGTCTTTCTCCCCTTTCATTTCTCTCGCCGACTCCATACTTTCCCATGACTTGTTCTTTGTCGTTTCTCTTTCCTACTTTGGCATTAAAGTCACCAATTAAATACTTAAAGTGACTTTTGTTGTTATTTAATGCTTCAGTTATGTTACTGTAGAGTTCTTCTATTTCTTTCTATTCTTCTATTTGTACAGTATATCTCCTTGATAGTTGTAAAGTTAAGCTGGCTACTCTATCCGAGATACTAGTTATTTCTACGATTCTTCGTTTCCATTTTTTGTTGATCAGGAATCCAATACCACCTGTTCTGCCCGTTAATGTTCCTCGGTAGTAGAATGTGTTTCCTGACTCTAATTCCAATAGTTCTTCATCTTTCCGTCTTACTTCACTGATTCCTATGACGTCCCATTTTATATGATCAGTTTCTTTTTCCAGTTCTACAAGTCTGGATTGATTTGATAGCGAGCGGCAGTTATATGTCGCTATATAAAGTGTTGTTGTTTTATTTGGGTAGCGGTTTAAACTCCGCAGATTCTTAGCACCCTCTGCCCTCCTGGCTTGATCCCGAAAGCTACCCATTTCAGGGCCATTTGGGCCTACGGAGAATGAGGGCCATGATTTGAATGTATCTTCCATGTAAGGGGTTGTGAGGCGTATCTTACCACGCTGCCTCAGTGCGGGTTGGTAAGGGTTCGCTGGTGTGTTTCGATTATAAGGCGCCGAAACTCGCCTTTCACCCTCCTCCTTCTGCTATACAACGTACTCTCACAATACGCCATATATTGCCCGGGGATTACGTGACTTATGTCTTCGTGGACGTAGGAGGTAGGATTCGTTGGTAGAGCTGGCTGACTTTTTAGATCAGCTGTGACTCATTCGTCACTCTCAGTTAGGCATTTACCGGAGATTTTAATGGTTTGCTCTTACCAGCAAAAGAACAACCTCTCCGATACCTATACCAACATTTAATCCCCATTTATACGTTATTAACATTATTAACCTCCATTTATATATATATATTGTAATACGTTATATCTACTTACGTGGACAAGTCATTCTTGTCTTTCTTTAAGTTTCTATAAAACTTCTAAGTGCTTTTACTGAACATTACATTTTTCTTTGCTCCAAAACATACATTTGAGTCCATATAATTTTAACTTGGACCTTCAATTGAGTCCAAGTTAGTACAATTTCACCAATAACGGCGGATAGAGATAAGAATTAGTCTTTTTCCTTTAAAACACGTTACTTTTTCCGTAGATATCTATCCAACTCTATAATCTTTATTTACGTTTTGTATAACTAGTACAACACTCATTGTGATAGCGGAAATCTTTAATTTTGTTAAATAATTTTGCCTTCACATATAATTGCATATGTTTAGATTAATTGTGGTTTTCCATTATGCTTTTCCCTTCTAAGGTTAAATTCCCTTAGAATTTTACAGACTATCTTTTATTTCAAGATAGGTCTTCAAAGATATCAAAAGTTTTCGTGTGGGCTGCTTGGCAAGTATAATTAGTGAATTACATAGTAGCGAAAGCACTGAAATTCCAAATTAAAAGTTATTCTTTATCTGCTGATTAGCTCAAATTGCCTTGAAAACCCCATCCGTCTTGAAATTTGTTATGAATAAAGGGCCTGTGTTTCAACACTAATTTAAAATATGGAATAATAGTTTTCGCTTTGATGATTTTAAACTTCTAATATTGTAATTTGCATATTAAATCAACATAATAGTCAGTTTATTACTCTTTCTTGTTATTAAAATATTTGTCCAATATTAGAAGGATATTTGGCAGAAATTCTGAAAATATTTTTATAAAATATTTTATTTCGGCACGTTTAGCCTGAATTAGTTTATTATTTAGTTCCGAGGTTATAGGTGATAGTCGTACGCCTACGAACAGAGAAGCTATGGCCAGTTGACAGTGATTTTCAACTCTATTTCAATACCAAATAAAGTGTGGTATACAAAGCAAACATTTTTAATGTTTCAAATGATCATTTTTTTTTAATTGAACTACTAGTTGCATTTTTAGTAGTGGTTCATTTTGATAACATGTCCATGGCGCCTACTAATTGCTTTAACTGTAAATATAAACTCATGCTAAAATAAAATATTAGATTTTATGCATTTTTTAATGAATACACAATAAAGACCAGTCCGGTTTTTTTATATAAATTTATCACATTAAGATGTGACACCATTAAAACTAACTGTTTCCATGTATTTTTTACGAAACTAGTAGTAGATATATGCAAAAACTCAAAACCTCATTAAGCAAAACCAGCCGGTTCCTTGTGCCAAACCAGTTCGAAGACACCCATAAATTATAGTCATCTCGAATCATTATCATCTTGTCTACTTTTAAGTCGAGATACTGTAACAATATAAAACACAGTTCGTGCAAGTGGCAAATAGCCAAAAATATTCAGGTACCTCGTGGTTACAACAGTAGATACCATCTTTGGTTTGTCTGGTCAAGTCAGGTCAGTTACACCACTTGCAAATCATGTTAAACTTTCCGCGGGGCCCGCAATTCAGATAGAAGTCAGCTACAAAAGAATAATTAAATTATTGCAAAAAAAGTTTCAAAACTATATTTTGTAATGATCAAGTGATGTAAATAACACACCTGTAGAGTGAATGCGTTACTCAAATCGATATTGCGTCCTTTTATGAGAAAATGATAAGTTTTTTAAGCTTTATCTTGACAGATCTAAGAAATATAATTCGATTTATTTGAAAATAAAACTGTTACGTAACTGAATAATTTTCTTTTAACTTGTTTAATCATTGGAAAGATATTTATACACTGGTAGTATGCGTATTTTGAGAAATGATAGCTCAAATTGTTGTTTATGGTTTCAGTTACGTTTGTAATAGAAAAACTAATGTAACTAATTGCAACAGAAGCTAGTGTGAAACTATATTAAAAGCACTCGTAGACAGACCATATTATTATGACAGTTGATAGGTGACACAATAGCTTAAAATTGACATTCAATGTTGTACTGGCAACATTTAAAAGAGCGGTCTACATCAGATGAAGTGTAATCATTGTATTATTTACTACTTAATACCGCTGAGAACTTTTTAATAATATATTTCTTTTTTTGTTACAGGACGGAATTGAAGCTGGAATCTCTAGAAGATGCCGTGGTATTAGACGAACCAGAAAGCGACTGGTTGCATGACAAACGAGGGTGTCCCGCCTATGTTAGTCCTGAGATTTTAAAAGCCGGAGCCCACTATTCGGGAAAAGCTGCAGATATGTGGAGTCTCGGCGTTATCCTGTATACCATGTTAGTTGGAAGGTAGGTGTGAACAATACTTATATGATTTTTTTCCATAAATTAAATGTGAACTCGCTGGTTCCAAGCTACTTATCAATTGTACAATTATTCTTCACAAATTTCTTTTACTATTAAATTCATGGTTTCTTCCTTTCTGGAAATATTACTTATTGAGTTGTCATGTGTCTATTTTTCTGTTACATTTCGTACCAAAATAATTATACTTTAGGTATAATATATTATATTAGTAAACATATCTGTTCTTTCTATATAGATCGGTTCATGTACAAAACATTTAAACATTTCTAATTTAACCTACAGTTTTAGAATCGAATTTTTAAGATATAGGGAACATATTTTAAAATAAATCTCATAAATAGTACCAAGTTTATTTGTACAATCGATGTGCAATTATTGTAAATATTTTTATTATATTAATTAAGCAAGAGATAAGTAAATAGAAAAAATAATTTTTAGATAGGGCAGGCACTATCTAAACGACCATAAATGACTGGTAAATTTTTAGAGAAAAAACTATTTACGAACGATGAAACAAGTCAAAGAAGAAAATAGACAAATATATTACCTAGACGAAATATAGATAAATGCAGGATTCACTATTTCTAAATTCTATCAAGATAAAAAGAGGAAGGCACGCATTCTTAAGCTGGATATCAACAGATGTAGCAAATAACCAGCCATGGTATAAAGAAAATAATTATTATGCATATCGAAAGTTCTGAATGTTTTGTAGAAAATGGCTGGCCTATTAACCTTTATTTCAAAAACTTGGTGACTATCACGAATATATGAATGAGTATGTTTTTGAACCATAGTGTGTTGTTATATCTGATTCTGAAAGGAGGTAATAGTGTTATGCACGATGCAAGTAATTATTCTTGTTTACAAAAATGTTGTCCATAAGGCGTTCAGCGATCTGTTACAAGTGGCTTATCAAAAATATAAACATACGAAAAGATAGAAAAAATAATAATTATATTACTAAGACGCCCAAGGATGCATTTAAAAAGTAGGTTGTAGATAAAACATTGGCTTTGCGTGGTATATCGATGCTTCAACTTCAACTACATATGTTCAGAAGAGTATTTAGAAACAAAAATAATAAAAATAAATTGTATAAACAAGTAGGCAGAACATTATAACAGTCGAGAGGTGATACAATAGCTTAAAAGGGACATTTAATGTTATACTGGCAATATTTGAAAGAGCAGCTACACTAAATGAATTTACATGAATGAATACATTCTATGAATGAATGCAGTCTACACTAGATGAATTTTCATGTATGAATGCAACAGAATTTATTTGGGCTTAAGTTTAAGGAAAAGTTGCAACGATTTAATTGCACTCGTTATCATTAACCCAAACAGCGATTGTTTTTCTGAGTTTGATTTAGATTAAAATGTGGTCTGTGTTATTAAAGTCCAGTAAACCGAAATATCTTTTACTCCGTTGATTACCAACTGCATACCAATAATGTGCGTTAAGAGTCTGTGCGATAAACGCCTTTTAATACATGCTCATACTTACTGATAATTTATTAGATATGCGTAATATTTTATAGATTTTTACCCTTCTAACCGACCTGCTGACATCTCCTGCCTTTGTTGCACGGTTTTCCTTGTTTCATCTACTTGCACCAAGGATCTATATTTATTTCAATTCTTTTTAAAATACGTTTATAATTTATATCAATTTTTGTTCTCTTGGCTAATTTTATAATTTTCTTAGAAACTATGTTGCTCAATTTTTACGTTTCAATTATTAATATGTATATAATAAAATTTGTGTTTTTATCAAATTAATACATTGTAAAGATCACATACATCTGCCTCTTCGAATGATGGTGGTAGTATATTCAAAAATTGCCCGTTTACAGCAACAAATTATATAACATTAGCAGGTTCGCCCGACAAGTAAAAAAAGATTATCGCAAACGCATTCGGGTCCACCTGCCGCGGCTGGTTTTCTCCTTCTTTGTTTCTTTTTGATACCCCTACGGCCCATCAGCAGCTACTGTCAGAACAGAGATGTGGGGCAGGTGAAACTCTTTCTGCTCGTATATATTATATGATCAAAGTATGAGAGGGGTGTCACTGGACGGGGTAACAGGTGAAATTTGTACGTACAGTGATGATCAACATTTCATATTATTAGATTAAAAAAGTCTTAAACTTTTTCTTAAATTTCATTATTTTTTAATAAAAGATTTTGATTTCAAATCATATTTCTCATAAAATTAATTGCCGAATCAAAATTTTATATTAGTCTTACCCACCAAGTGATTTTTGACCATAATTATTACTATTCATTATTTAACATAATTCTTGTAATATTTCTGTTGAGTTCACAAACATCTTTCATTTTAAATGTTTTATGTGTCCATTATCAATTCAATAGAATGTAAGTGACAGTTCTATGGTGGCAAACGAAACACTTTTATCCTACTCTCTCTTCTCTATTTCATCAGCACAATGCTTTTAAATTGCAACTTGTCATTAAAGACTTGTTTACACGGGTAGAGTTGTGAGGAGAGTAGAATAGCTAGTAGAGTCGACTCTACTCGCTACTCTACCAAAAATGGCTTGATACCGTTCACACGAGGAGAGTTACAAGTATAGTACTGATGCTAGTATAGTGTGGAGTGGGTGTTTGTTTAGTGCAAAATGAATTCAAGAAAAAGAAAATTGATTCAAAATTGTTTAGCTACAGTTGCAAATGCATTTGTAACTGAAGTCGCTGAAGCTATCGATGATGAGGTAAACAAACAAAGAAAGGAGTGGATGAGAGAGTGGCTTAAAAGAAGGAATACACACGGGGCCTCAGCTCTTCTGTTAAGAGAACTAGCCTTAGAGGATGAGTTGGAATATAAGATGTGTCTAAGGATGACCCAGGAAAATTCGAAGAACTTCTGAATATGGTGCATGACAAAATCGAACGACAAGACACGTTTATGAGGGATGCAATAAAACCAAGAGTGAAGCTTGAGATTACATTGAATTTTTTAGCTACAGGCAACAGCTATCGAAGCCTTTCTCATTTTTTTAGGGTTTCAAGACCTGCAATTTCAAAGTTGGTCCCCGAGGTGTGTGATGCCATCTCCGAAGTATTGGAGGAGTCAATAAAGGTAAGTTTCAATAACAGGGTGAATAAACAGGTACACGCATTACAAAAAATAGTTTTAATTGAAAATTCGTAAAATAACAAAATAGTACTTCAGATAAATGTTGAAAAAGGTACACCACAGAAACTTCGGTGAAGCAAGTCCCGTTTAAATATTAAACCTGTGTATAAGTCATTTGCATAGCACGTGTCAGAATATCTGAATCTTCAGGATTCACAGCTGCATCTTGTAGATGGATACTGTTACCATCTGGATACTGTTGCTGTTGAGTAACGAGTGACGAAGACGCCATTTGCTGAGCACTGCTACTCGTAGGACTGCCAAGTGGAGAATTGGTGTAAAATGACTGGTGGGAGTTGCATCCTGATGAAACGGAGTATGCAGGGGTGCTGTGAGACATGTGCACTGGTAAACTTGGTGGTGTGTTGAGTTGGAGTACTGAGCAGTTTGCTGAGGATAAAACGCTTAGTTTGTGCTTCATCAGAATTCCCTGAATCTCATGTTGGGCCACCACAGCTTGTTCCGGTGGTAAATTATTCAAGCTCGCTGAAACAAAATTTCCAAACGCTTCGTTCTCATTGCTGTCCATCCGGTCGTCATGGATATTTTGACTAACCTGTTGAAGGTCCTTCACTGCTTGTGTTAGATTGTCAAGTCTCTTCTTTTTGCCTGCAGGCCGTCGTTTAAATGTTTCCGATGCCGATTGCTTACGAGATGGTGTTTGTTGGCAGCTCGATGTTTGTGGTAGAGTTATATTTTCCACTGATTGATCTGGATCATCGATAGTCCCTTCCTCTTCCTGTGATTCTGTGTTGAGTGGATATTTCGACTCTGTATTGTGTGAAATGGTTGTTTCCTAAAACAAACAAAAAATAAAACAAAAACTAAATTAGTAAATGTTAAGAGGGAATTTTAAATTTTGGTTTCAGGTTCCTTCCAGAGACGAATGGAACACTGTGGCTGAGGGTTTTAAGGAGCATTGGAACTTTCCAAATTGCTGTGGGGCTATAGACGGCAAACACGTTTTAATTAAGGCACCTCCCAACTCTGGCAGTGAATATTATAATTATAAAGGGCAGCACAGCGTGGTACTTATGGCTGTTGTTGATCATAAATACTGCTTCAGTTATATCAATGTTGGTTTCAAAGGATCTAATTCAGATGGAGGTGTATTTCAAAATTGCAATATATATGAAGCATTAGAGAACAGTCTTCTACCCGATGGTCTATTCCTTGTTGGGGACGATGCATTTCCGCTTAAAATGTACCTGATGAAGCCATACAGTGGGTACCGAAGACGTCTTACCGTAAATGAACAAGTCTTCAATTACCGCTTGAGCAGGGCAAGAAGAATTTCGGAGAATGCATTTGGAATATTAGTTAGTCGTTTCCGGATTTTCGAAAGACACTTAGCCGTACAGCTAACAACAGTAAATAAAGTAGTTACCGCAGCCTGTAGCCTTCACAACTGGCTAAGAGAAACATCCCCAGAATCATATTTTGTCAATGGCTGTGTCGATAAGGAAATTACTGACAACGGATCTGTCATTCCAGGGCAATGGCGAAACGAAATCAATGAACTAAGAAATCTTGAACCATATGGTGGCTCTCAGTCAACAGCCATGGCTAAGAAAGTGAGAGATCGCTTAATGACCTATTTTAACAATGAAGGAGCTGTTCCATGGCAATATAAGAATGTGTTTTGACTTGAGATATTACTTTGTATTGTGTATGACATTTATTAACTAGAACAACCTTATGAAGAATTGTACAACTTTTTGTAATTTGTATTTAACAAGATTTGTCATAAAATTTCGGAACTATAGCCGTTCCCACTTGTCGTGAGTTGGGAAAAATAAATAACCTACACACTTTT